CCACGTGTTATCATTGATGTTCCTAATTGAACAAGATTTGCTGTTATACCTGTTGCAGTTACTCTTACATAGACTGAAGATGAAGATTTAAGATTGAGCGATTCAATCATTGTGACAGTTAATGTTAATTCATAAATTCCATAATCCAATGTTCTTGATGGAATATAAAGCTCATTTAATGTTGTACTAATTTTATTACTTAATTGAATTTGAAATGAACATGCCGATGTACAATTTTTGATAATCCATTTTGCAGTTGTTGAAAGTGAACCATTACAATTAAATTGAATCATTGAACTAATAGTAAAATCTTGACTACGTCGATATGTTATTGGAGATGGTAAAGATGATTGTCCAGGAATCAATGTTATCGTCGGTGAATAACAACCTAGTTTAGAAAAAAAAATCAATAAACTATTGTCTATGCTATTTATATTATTACTTTGATGGATACTTAATCCTTGAGAAGTTGTAATGGATGTCGTGCTACTTGAGGTACTACTGGTAGTAGTGGTAGTACTACTTGTGATACTGCTGCTGCTCGTCGTACTGCTACTTGTGGTGCTGCTGCTGCTCGTAGTAGTACTGCTAGTGGTGGTCGTAGTAGTGGTGCTACTTGAAGTACTGCTGCTGCTTGTAGTGGTGCTAGTTGAGGTACTGCTAGTGGTAGTAGTGCTACTTGAGGTACTACTGCTGCTCGTTGTAGTACTGCTGGTGGTGGTGGTAGTGGTACTAGTGCTACTTGAAGTACTACTGCTACTCGTGGTAGTACTACTTGAAGTACTGGTACTACTTGTTGTACTGCTACTTGTGGTACTGCTACTGCTCGTAGTAGTACTGCTAGTGGTGCTACTTGAAGTACTGGTACTAGTAGTAGTAGTACTACTTGTGGTACTGCTGCTGCTTGTTGTAGTACTTGTAGTGGTGGTGGTAGTAGTAGTGCTACTTGTGGTACTACTACTGCATGTAGTAGTACTAGTGGTGGTAGTAGTAGTAGTACTGCTAGCGGTAGTGGTGGTAGTAGTGCTACTTGAAGTACTGCTAGTAGTAGTGGTAGTACTACTCGTGGTACTGCTGCTGCTCGTTGTAGTACTGCTGGTGGTGGTTGTAGTGCTACTTGAGGTACTGCTGGTAGTAGTAGTGCTACTACTTGTGGTGCTGCTACTGCTCGTAGTAGTACTACTGGTGGTACTGCTGCTACTCGTTGTAGTACTTGTAGTGGTAGTGGTAGTGGTAGTAGTAGTGCTGCTAGTGGTGGTCGTGGTAGTAGTGCTGCTTGAGGTGCTACTGCTACTCGTAGTAGTGCTACTGGTGGTACTGCTGCTACTCGTTGTAGTACTAGTCGTGGTAGTAGTAGTACTACTTGTAGTACTGGTGGCAGTAGTAGTAGTGCTACTTGTGGTGCTGGTGATGGTGGTAGTGGTACTCGTAGTACTGCTACTGCTTGTAGTACTCCTGCTTGTGGTACTAGTGCTGGTGGTAGTGGTACTCGTAGTACTGCTACTGCTTGTAGTCTTAGTGGTGGTAGTAGTAGTAGTGCTAGTTGTAGTACTGCTGCTGCTGCTCGTAGTAGTAGTAGTGGTGGTGGTCGGTATTGCTAAAGTATAAAACAATTGTACCTTACTCAATCAAATGAGCGAGAATTTATACTAAAAACATTAATGTGAGATTAAATAATTCAAGCAACATTTCATTTGATTTTTATCAACTTTTCAAACGATAGTCGCAAACAATTAACTATCGATTACAACTTCATAATATACTATTATATACAAATAACTTACGGCAGCTGTTATTTTGAAGAGCGAATTGTTGTACTCGACTATTATTTCGATCAGTAACATATATATTTCCATAGCTATCAAAAGCCATACTTTGTGGAAAAGATAACTGAGACGAAGATGAACCACCTCCCAAACATCCTACTATACATCGAAAGCCAGTAGAACTTGAACCAATAATACGATGATTATAACTATCGACAATAAAAAGATAATCATTAGCATCAAGAACAATTCCAGTTGGATAGTTGAGTGTAATATTTGCCGATGATCCATTACCAACGATTGTCACTCCATCTAACTGACCAGCTTGAACGAGTTGAATACGATTGTTAGTACAGTCTGCAATATATAGGTTTAAATTACTATCAACATAGATTCCTTGAGGAGAATTAAGCATATTTGATAGTGATCCAGCAGAACCATTTCCAGCTGCAATTGTCGGAATGGTTGAACCATTATTAAGTAAAAGTTTAACAACTTGATGAAGATTTTTAAGTGAACAATAAAGATTATTATTAATATCAATAAATAAACCATAACAATTTCCATTAACGTTCATAACAGTTACACGATTTGATGTATTAAATATATATTTATCAACTCGACCATATGAATAACCATTATCAATATAAATATCACCAGTCATAGACATAAAAAGACTATATGGATTACTTAAATTACTGTAACTATTACTTGTTGATGTACTACTTCCTTGAGGCCATGATATAATAGTGTTACTAACTCGATTAGGTACATATACAGTATTAATTCCATTAATAAAAATACCATAAGGTAATGTACCAATTGTAGTACTTGATGCAAAAGTTGATGCATTAGAATACCATAAAGCATTTGAGCAAAATGTTGGTTGATTATAAGAAAGACCTAAAATAAATAAATTTATATCATCGAAAACAGTAATTGAAAGTTAACTTACTACATGAATTTGATGCTAATATAAACTTTTGCACTCTATGATTATATCTATCAGCAACAAATAGATTTCCATAACTATCAAATCTTAAAGTTCCTGGATAATACAATTGACTTGGTGTAGAACCAGCAACACTTGTACATCCAAATAAACATCGAAAACCATATGGTCCTGATCCAATTATTCGATGATTATAACAATCCGCAATAAAAAGATATCCATTACCATCCAATGTAATACCATTTGGAATATTAAGTGTAATAGTTCCTGGAACACTAGCTCCCACTAAAGTTATTCCAGTAAATTGGCCAACAGGAAACATTTGTATTCTATTGTTAACGGAATCTGCAACATATAAATTAATTTCAGCATCGACAAAAATTCCAACAGGCGCATTAAGTGTAGTTGCGGTTGATCCAGCTGTGCCTGTACCAGCAACAATAGTTGATGTAAGTACATTATCATTTAACCATTTCTTAACAACTTGATGAGTAGTAAACGCTGCACAATAAAGAGTATTACTAATATCAACAAAGATACCAGTACATCCATAAGGAACTGTCATTACAGAATTACTTATATTTGAGTTGAATGGAAATTTATCGACTCGACGATTATTATAACCATTATCAACATATATATCACCCATAGGAGTAACGAAAAGATCCAATGGTGTACTTAGACTACCAGAAAGAATTTTATCTGGATTAATACTTCCTTCGTACCATACTACAACCTTATTAGTTTGTTCATTAGCTACATATATAGTATTATTAATACTAACAAAAACACCATATACGTTAGTTCCAGTCGTACTACTATTGGCAAATGTAATCGCATCTGTATACCAAGTCGTTGATGGACAGAAGCTTGGTTGATTGGTAGTTGTACCTAAAAAAAATTAATTAAAAAAATTATTGATGTTATTTTTCAAATATATTCATCAAGTTAAATATTTCCTAATAGAAAAATATTAATCGTATGATCGATCTTATAAAGATCTCATAGTATTTAGATAGTTTAATATAATCAGAATCAATTTCACTATTGTGTGTTATACAAAAAAAGAAACTAAAACTGGTTAATTCAAATAAATCTTTTCAATTAGATTTTATCGTAGTTGTTAAATTTTATGAAAAAAAAAAATTTTAGTTTACTTACCATAGATATTACTTGTTATATAAAATTTTTGAATTCGATGGTTGTATCTATCAGCAACAAACATATTACCGTAACTATCGAAATTTAAACTGGATGGATAATATAATTGATTAGATGCTGAACCAGCAACAGTTGAACATCCTACTAAACAACGAAATCCGTTTGGTCCTGATCCAACAATACGATTATTCAAATACTCCGCAATGAATATGTAACCATCTGCATCCAGGACAACTCCAGCCGGACCATTGAGACTAATAGTTCCTGTTGCGCTAGTTCCGGCTATCGTTATTCCATTTAATTGGTTTGATAGGAATTTTTGTACCCTATTATTGGTATAATCAGCAACATACAAATTGAGATCTGTATCAACAAAGATTCCGCGAGGATCATGAAGCGTATTTGATGTTGCTCCAGCACAACCTGTGCCCGCAGCGATTGTCCATATATTTGAATTACTATTTAATGATTTTGTATTAACTTGATGATAATTAATCGGTGTACAATAAATATTATTATTAATATCGATAAAAAGAGCAGAGCACATATATTTGACGTTCATTACCACAGTACTGTTTGTTGTATTTAATGCCCATTTATCCACTCGACTATTTACATAACCATTATCGACATAAATATCACCATTACTCGTAACAAAAACAGAACATGGAGCATTTAAATTACCGGAGATATTTCTTGTGGGTTGGCTACTACCTTCACGCCACACTTGAACACGATTTAAAGAATACTCACTTACATATACCGTGTTATTATTATCAACAAATATACCGTAAGGATATGTTCCGACCAGGGTGCTGTCTGCTAAAGTTATTCCATTGGAGCTCCAAGTAGTATACGCAGTAATTTCTGGCACATTGTATGAAATAGCTACAAAAACATATATATTCATTAATTTCATATTTATCAAAGATATACCCACCCATTACACATCTACATCCATACCCTCAACTTTTTTGAAGAAAAACTCAAAATAAAACGTTTCCTCTCTTTATAAAGATGTAATCAAAGAATGAATTTATTTATTTTCTATGACTCTTTTGAAATTATTTAAACAATAATCAAAATATTCGAAACAGAATTCCTGTTCTATTAAATGATTGCATACGATTTAAATATGGTGCAGTTGTAGAACTTATTTCAGGAACAGTTGTTGTTAAAGAAACTGATTGAGTATTATTCATTGAAGTAACTATTAAAAACAAATGTAAACTATTAGTAAAAAAATAAGTTAATAAAAAATTATTTGAAAATACCCGTAGCCATAGTTGTTACTGTTGTCGTTCCATCTATAAACAAAAATACGATTTTATATTATAATATGAGAGAATTAGTTTTAACTCACTACATGAGTCTGGTAACAAAAGAAATTTTTGTACTCTATGATTGTATTCATCGGTGACATATATATTTCCAAAGCTGTCAAAACTCATAGTATGTGGATAATATAACTGGCTGGATGATGAACCATACCCAGAACATGCTGCTATACATCGAAACCCATTAGGTCCTGAGCCAATAAGACGATGATTCCAGCAATCAGTAATAAAGATATATCCATCAGCATCAAGTATAACTGAAGTTGGATAAAGCAATGTAATACCTCCTGTTGCTATTGTTGTTCCGTTCAATTGTCCTGATGCAAATTTTTGAATCCTACTATTTGTAGTATCAGCTACATACAAATTCAAGTTAATATCAACAAAGATACCCCATGGATTATAAAGTGTAACCGATGTTGATCCAGCTGTACCCGTGCCGGCGACAATACTCCATACACTTAAACGTGTGTCCAATGACTTCGATACAACTTGATGAGACAAACTCATTAAGCAGTAAAGCATATTATTAATATCAACAAAAAGACTGTAACATTGTCCACACACATACATTGCTGGAACACTACTTGTTGAATTCCATCCCCATTTATCAACCCGATAATATGCGTTGCCATTGTCGACATAAACATCACCATTGTCCGTAACGAAGACACTATAAGGTGCATATAAGCCACCAGAGTAAGTGCCTGTAAGTGTGGTACTTCCGTTAAACCACACTTGAATCCTTCCATTTGCTTCATCAGCGACATAGACGCTGTTATTTGTATCAACAAACATGCCTAAAGGATACGTGCCAATCGTGGCGCTCGTGGCAAAAGTTATTGCCGTCTGGTTCCATGTTGCATTTGCACAAAATTTTGGTTGATTATAAGAAATACCTATTAAAAATCATAGAACTATGAGATAGAGTTCGAATAATAATGCTCATCATTAACTCAGAATTTTGCACTTATACTGCTAGTTGAAACTTGAGAGAAAACTCTGGGAATACGTTTGTTACATACAAAGAAATCGCTAATTTCTAAATATGTTCACTTTTCGGTTAGAAAATAAGTCGAAGGTTTTTATAAAGATTATAATAATGTGTCCGGACATATCTATGTCTGATGGAAGATGACTACACGAAGTTTATCGAGTTCTTACCTGATGTTTGCCCAAAAATCAATAGAAATAACCAAATATTGCGAAAACCAAACAATATCATGTTGAATATCTAAAATATAACTCAGTTTTATATTAATGAATAGTGGTATTGAATGAAAAATTAGGTTAAACAAAACAGTTCATTATATGACTGTAAACGGATAAAATAAGACGTCTTCACAACATTCAGTAAGTTGTCTTTCACAAAATGTTCTTCATCTCCTATAGCCTTAGTCATGTATACTCCGTCTTCTAATATTTTTATGAAAAAACTTTTTTATAACGTTCCTATATACCTCTTAAATATGATACTATGCAATGGGAACAATTATAAAAAAATGTCGGACTACCAAGCTTCGTTGAAGTTAATCTTGTCTTGCTGCTCAAGTTTACGAAAACAAAATAGAATTTCTCTTGAAATTTTGTTCACTGTCTTCTCTTTAAATGATAAGTAGCATACAAAATTATATTACAACATGGTAAATAATACTTACGCGGGAACATCCCCAACTGTTGGATCACTTTGGAGTTCGGGTTCCGTGCATAAAGTAGATTCCAGTGAGGTATGGAAAATCCCAAAAGAATAAGGGCCCATGGGTCTTCTGTCCAGCGTTATAGGCATTTTACTGAAATTTCAGCCTATAGGATGGTGTATATAAATAAATCGAATGACGGTATTTCGATCTGACATTTTGCCCATAGAGAGCTCTATTGATGACCAGAATGCCCAGAAAATCTCAGCTTAAAAGAACGTTTCGTTCTCGAGATATTAAAGACTCAAACAATAGGAAATTCTAGTATTTTTCGTAGGAAATGGGTAACTGTTTGATACTTTAATATCTTGAGAACGAAACATTCTTTTAAGCTGAAAGTTCCAGGTCATTCTAGTCACCAATAGACCTGTCTATGGACAAAATCTCAGTTCGAAATACCGTCATCTAATTTATTTATACATACGATGTCATAGGTTAAAATTGCAGTATATTGCCTATAAAGCTGGACAGAAGGCCTATGAGCTATTATTCTTTTGGGGTTTTTCATACCTCACTGGAATCTACTCTATGCGCGGAACCCAAACTTCAAAGCGATCCGACAGTTGGGGATGTTCCCTCGTTAGTAGTTCCGCATACCTAAAAATAATCACACGATCCGTTGATGGAACACAAATTTAAGGATTGCATTTATGCGCTAGATAATACGGGATAGAAAATGGTCTGTATATTTAAAAGGATTTGAACTTGTTATCGTATCTCCATAAACCTTTTGTACACTCTCGCTTCTTATCACTCTTCAAAGAATATAAAAACTAATATTTGTAATGACTAGTCAGACCGAAGATCCGAATTCTTTTTATTTTAATGCAACTTCTATGATACATCAAGGTGATATAATATTTTTAGAAGCTATACTATTCGTATAGAAATTATTTTTTTATAAATCATAGATACTGAATAAGAAAAAAATAGAATGGGATCCTCCGATAAGGCTAAAAAGCCCATTTATTGTAATCAATACTTGCTGTTGGATTTATCTTTGATAAAAATCTAAGAAGAAAATAAATAAAACACAGAATCTACTTAAATGCACTAACACTTACTAGTCGATTTATTATTATAAATAACCTAAATATAAAAAATGAAATTTGCTTTAAAAAAAAATTACTTACTGTTCGTTTGATCGATGTAAATAATCTACAAAGAAAAACAAAAATTATTAATTTAATTAATACTTACCATAGAATTAGTCATTACATAATTCAATAGAGCATGCATGTATGATCGATATTCTTCGACTAACCAGTGAAAAGTGAATCCGCAAGTAGATACTTTATTTTTGCTGCACTCTTCTCTATGAGAAAGAGAATATGAACAAATATTTGTATTTAATTCGTATATATCAATAGAAGAAAATCCATCTTTTCAACATATTCTAATATACATTTTTCTCCAATTGAAATAATTAAATTTTACTTCTGTAGAATCTGCATCTCTGCAGTTTCTTAATTGAGAATATATTCAAACTAGTTGTTTAATTTAAAATGTAATCTTTTCTATTTTTTTTTTCTTACTCATCAAAAGAAGAGAAAGGACATTCAAAGTGAGTTCAACAAACATGAAGAAATAACGTAGAGTAAACGTCATGACGCTTTACTTATTTTTAATAGTGTAATAAGGAAAATTTTCTATAAATAACTTTCATATTCTAAAACAATTTTGTACAATTAGAAAACTATTTTTTCTTGCATCTCTAGATAAATATATGGTACGCCTTATGATATAATTCTATTCATGTAATGGAGAATAGTCGTTTTCTAATTTTTTTACTTAAAATATTAAGTATAATACGTATTTTCTAAGATAATTCGAAAAATAAATTCTAATTAATATTTTTCTTTATATTTAGCTATTTGTAAAACGTAAGAAATAATACGCACAGTGATGAAACTATAGCTTTCTCGTATTTTTGAAAAAAAATATTCTTTTGCTCGACTTTATAGTATCACGTTAATGATGATTCTATTTTCTTCTCTCATCGTTGTCGGTTTATTTATTTGTAAATTAAAAATTAAAAAAAGAAAAAGTAAGGACAAATATAACATTTCGATTATTTTTATTGAAAATCAAGAAATATTTAACCATAATGATCTTAGACAAGAATTTAGATTAAAAAATCATGATTATAAATATTAAACATCGATCTATTAAATGATGGTGAAATATCACAAATATATAGTTTAGCTGCAAAAAAAAATCTCATTTATGTAATTATATTTTTCTTTCCAATTATAAAAAGAATAAAAGGAAAAAAATATTCATCAATCTTCATAGAAATTGTACAGAGAGGTATGATTCAGCCAACATATATGAAATTTTATTACAATAATGTTCTATTTTCTCTATAGTTTTCTACAGTTCTTAATAAACAAAATCTTTAAATACCTGATTATTTCTTCTTTTTTCAAAAAATTTTTTCTGCTGTTCTTCAGTATGAATATTTTTTGTCTAGAAATTTTCATTCGATAGTTTCCATGATGATCCGAAAGAATCAGGATTGTTTTTTTAAACTATACAAAAGTCAGTACTTACCAAAAGATATTTTCTTCTGTTTAGAGTAAAATAAGAAATTTGTAGTGTATTTAATTTGATGAAGCTTCGTTATGACAAGAAAAATATTTTTAGAATTATTTTTTAAAACTAAAGAAAGAAAAAAAAAGAAAAAATATTTTTTTTTAATATGAATAATGATTCTCTGCTGATATTAACAAGATACAAAGAATGTCTTACTCTTAGTTACGAAACAATTCTTTTTTTAAACAATTAACTAAACTTTATTTAACTAGCTGATTGCGAGAGTCGTTATTTTTCTGCGACATCACTATAGTGTCGTGCAAATGTTAACAGAATACAACAATATGAATTCAAACATGATGATGAAATACAAGAAAGTAAAAATAAGACCCTGTTATCACAACACATAATATTCGTAGTTGAAAATTTAGTTCTTAAAACTGTTTAAAAACCCATGCCTTACTTCTTTTGTAACTTTTTTTTCTAATTATTTATTTTTTAATTTTCCATGCGGAACAGTGTTGCCACCTTTTAAAGTCCAAAAAGCAGAAAAAAAATTATAAAAAGCAGAAAATGACAGAAATTTTACCAGCAAAAAGCAGAAAAAAAAGCAGAAAAGGTTTTCTTATATGAATTTACTATAAAAAGCTTAGATTCAACATAATAATTCAAAATTACTTATGAAATTGCAATCTTTATTAAATAAGATCAAAAAAAAATAAACAGACAAAAAATAAATAGAATTATTTAATTTAAGTATTCAATACCAAGAAAAACAAATAAATAGATTATTACGTTCATTTTCTTTTGAACGCATATTTTTCATCCGATTTTATGGCTTTTAACAAGTCTTGATTTGATAAAACATGTTTATGCATTTCAACACAGGATAATGATGAGTTTAATCGTATTTTTAATTCAGCTGAGATAAGTTCAGTTGTCATACGATTTCTTTTATCGTTACATAAATGTTTTAATTGTGAAAATGCTGACTCAACATAAGCATTACTACACGGTAAAGAATATAAAAAACATATGAGTTTCTTGAAATTTGGAGATTGAGTAAGAGAAAACATATATATCCAGAAATGATCAGATCTCACAATTTTGTTATCTGAATGATCATGATCATCATCATCATCATCGTTTTTCTCTTCATTACATTCATTGATTAGTGCTAGATCACCTTGTTTATTAATAAATGTTTGAACTTGATCAAAAATCGAGATACGTTGTTGTGAGATCATTTTTAATGTTGATTTTATATTTGTGAATTCATCAAATAAACAATCTTCATTCAGATTTTTAATTTTTAATAAATCAACACATTGAGTAACTTGATCCCATGTTAATGAATCAATATTTTGAAATCCAAAATAACTAACAGTTTTATAAAGTATAACATTTTGATCGAAGTAAGAATCAATGTACGAAATAATTGCGTGTAAAAATTTAATAAATGATTCTTTTAATGTTTCTTGTATATCAGTTGGTAAACGAGCTAATCGGTATCTGCATGCAGCTCCAAAAAAATCAGAATCAATACGTTCTTGTAATTTGTTTTTAATGGATGTGATGATTCTATATAAATCAACTAATGTTGTGTAAGAGCGTTGTAGTTCAAGATTTTTCTTATGTATTTCAAACAAAATATGTTGTACAAAACTAAGTACACAAGGAGTTTCATCACGTTCAAAGAAACTTTTTATTTCTTTTGGACAATTTGTTTGTTCAATAAAGTATTTTTTAATAGGTGCATACACCTCAATGAAACGTTCTATAGATAAATATAAGCTTAGCCATCTGATCTTGATGTGTTTTAGAATCACCTAAAATAAAATAAGGCATTAGAACTAGGTGAGTATATGATATAGAATGACTAATAATAAATATTCTTACTTTAAAATCTTGCTCATAAAATTCATAGTAAAGTTTAAGTTCACTTATACGTTTAGCTGATCGTGAAAAGTGTGCATAAATAGAAAGTAACATTTTTTCTATATCAAGTGGTAATAATGGATGAGCGTGTTTAACAGAATTGTGCAGGATATGGCTGTAGCAATTCCCTAAAAATATAGAGCAAAAAATAATCCGATGCTCTTTAAAGCACCAATAGTTATCTTTTGAGCAATAAACATAGTGGATGCAAAGCATTTAGAATTAATTCTTCTTGAAGAGTTTAAAACTTAATTATCACACTCACTTAATGCTTATGATTAATCATATAAAGCTTTTAAAAATAAATCAAGAAAACTAACAAAGATATAACTTTCTTAATAACTAAGACTTTTATACCTTTAATAATATTAGGTGATTCATCTTGAAATAGTGAACAAACTGAATGATTTTCACCAACATTTACGTTAGTATTATCAGCTCCTAATGCTGTTAATCCATTAAAATCCATATTATTATCCTTAATTAACTGACGTGCATTAGCAAATATTCCATTAGCTGATTCATCAGCATCCTCAATCAAATCCACAATTCCTAAAAAGATAAAAAATGAATGAGAGATAACAAAATAACTAAACATACCTTTTTTAACACCTAATGATGATAAATACTGTATACAAAAAGGATATAGTTTTATATTTCCTTTATTACTTGCATCGAAATGTAAAGAATAATAAAACGAGTTTTTTAGATCATCAAGTAGACATCGAGTAAAATATGGAGCTAAAACATTTAATGCAATCGATGTTGCTTTTGTACGACCACATGATAATTTATTCGCTGTAGTTGATGAAGAAAATATTATCTTGCAAACATTTGATAAACATTGTTGTGAAAGATATGAGTGCCCGTGTTTGACTCCATGGTAAACGAGAACGGCTTCAGCAGCACAAATTTCATCTGTTTCTCTAGAAGGTTTAATTGTATCAGTTATTAATTGTTGATTTATATTAAATGATTTTATATTATTTTGGTGTTTCTGTGTCTTCATATGATTATCAATATCAGTTTTTCCACGATAATGTATTGAAAACTGTTGATTACAGGCAGCACACGTTGCTTGAGATGAATCAGGTTTATATTCTTTTAAAAATCTTTGATATTGACTGATCTTCAACCATTCTTTATTGAATACACCCTTTTTCAATTTTCTTTTTTTTTGTTCAACACCTGCTGATGCTGATGATTTTGTAATTGATAAAAATTCAGGGTTATTTTCATCGGTAATATTATCTTCATCAGTAATAATATCTTCATCACTCATTTTTATTGCTTTTATATTATAAATAACTACACAATTCACGATGATTTTTTATATTCGTTCATTCAACAAACATACAAAAGAATATGTATGTTGATTTGTATGAGTCACACAAATCATAAGAAGAATGACAAAAGAGAAATAGATAAAGAATGGAATAAATATAAAATATATACATTGGATTCGTTTTTATCCACTAGAATGTAGGAGTTATATAATAGAAGTTGCACTAGGACGAAATAATAATGAGTCATTATTGGTTAAAGTTTGTTTTTAAAATTCAAAAAATGATCATTCAGATGATAATTATTGATTATAAATATGAATGACTCGACATTTTTAAAAAAGCAGAAAAATTTTAAAAAAGCAGAAAGGACAGAAAAAAAGCAGAAAAATCTTCAAAAAGCAGAATTTTTCTGCTAAAAGCAGAAGAGGTGGCAACACTGATGCGGAATTTGCACTAGCTGTGAATTTGATTTTGAGAATAAAGATGAGAGATGAAAACAAAACCTACATCCACAACCACAAAGTCAGAAGTGGTGGATTCTACGAATGTTAACGATCGATTGTGAATAGCTCGTGAGAATACAATTTTCATCATTTCCCTCATCTAAAATGGTAATATTTCATGCTGGTTACCATCGGCCTTTTTTCAAAGGACCGAGACCTTCATTGAATTTAATCTGACAATAACGTTCGACGTATGTATTTAATTGATGATATTCAATGATTCCGTACACAAGTACACATACACCAAATTAGTAGTTTAACACAAGGAGTATCACGCCTGGATCCTCTTTCTGTTAGAAATCTTATAAATGATGGTGATAACGACATGCAAAATTTGGTGTTTTTTACAGCTCGATAATGAATAGGTTACTTGTAATTTACTTTTTGATGTAAATAAAAGCACGTTTTTGCTTCGTATACATACAGGACAAAAAAAAAGAAAGAAAATATGTATTAAGAAACGCATGGTAATTATAAATAGAATCGTAAAAATGTGATATTTCTATTTTCTTTTTTACTAAAAACCAAAGTTTTTCTTGCATTGATAGTAAATTCGTTTTTCTAATATAAAATCAATACAGATAAACAATTATCAGTGATATTTTTGGAAAAAAATTTTCTTAATGTAGAAAAGTCAAAGATTTGTAATATAATGATTAATTTAACAAAGTTTCAATCTTTTGTGTAGAATTAGAATACATAAATTTTGAGATAAGTAATATGAATGGTAATGTTATAGCATCATACAAAACAAAACAGAAAATAAAAAGAATATGAATGAGGGTGATCATATCATTACATACTAACACCCTCAATCAGCGAAATCCGAGATGTCAAACTAAAGCCGGTATCTGGTTTTCTCAGAGACTTATTCTAAAAGAGTTTAGCTCGATTGTTGTTCAGCTAGAAAGCGGTGATAAAAAATTTAAACGATAAAGATTAAAACTTTTATTGTAGATTAAAAATGAAGTAAAGTTGTCGTGATTAATAATGTTTTCATAAAAAGAATAGGAGAAAAAAATTGAGATTAGATAATGAAAGTCTTTATTTCGTCGTCTTCCAGTGATTAGCGAGACCAACATGTTGTTGGTTGACCAATAATATCCATCCAAAATCGAGTATCACTACGAACATTTCCATACGAATAATAACCCCATCCTCCGCTTGCATAGTTATTTCCATTGCTTGCACCCCATTGCTTCCACTGTGCATTAGCATATGTTGCACCATTCATTCCTGGAATATAGCGACTATCATGAAATTCAGCTGTGACCCATCCTGGACCAAGTGTATTTGCACAATATGCATCAACATCTTTGATAGATGCAAATGAAGAACCTGCAACTTTTGGAGTTGTTGCAATGTAACCCATTGTCCAACCACAATAGAACTCTTTTGGCATTGCATTAGCAGTGCATATCATAGCATAGGCTGGACGTGGTGATTGATCAACTTGTTTACAGAGAACAGGTAGTTTTGTGCTACAATCGGTATCACCTGCATAAGGATTACAACCCTTGGTGGTATCACACTGAATGAAATCAATGGCCAAATCATTTTGATGAGATATTTTTGCTACAGTCATACCCATTTTACCTAGAAGAGATAGGGATTAAAAGTAATTTATAGGAGATCACTGAGAAAAACTTACCAGATACGACTGCAATAAGTACAACCGAAAATACCATTAGTGAAGCCAAGTAACTAGTAGCAGAAACCATTTTGAATAATTTGAATAACGGTGATATTCACTATGCTTGTAGTCGAAAAAACGATATTATGTTTTCAATGTGATTTGAATAGATATTTTTAAACTGCTTATATACCCGTCCGATTACTTCCTAGCTCTATACAAATACTTTGACAGAAATCTATCAACCTTATCGTTAATTACCTTTTTTCTTCTATTCTTTGTATTTTTACTTGTCGGCAGAAAGAAAGAGCCGTTTGACTTACCTTGATGCATATTACTCACTCGAAATCATGAAAGAAAGTAATGATATCTTAGTTCCGACTCCTCTCGATAATAAGTAGAAACGAAGTTCGGAACTAAAATATCATCACTTTCTTTAATGATTTCGAGTGGCTAATAAACATCAAGGTACGTCGAATCAGAAAGGTATATAAGCAGTTTGAGAATATTTGCTCAAATCACATTGAAAACATAATATCGTTTCTTCGACTACAAGCATAGTGAATATCACCATTATTCAAAATGGTTTCTGTTACTAGCTACTTGGCTTCACTAATGGTATTTTCGATGGTACTTATTGCAGTCGTATCTGGTAAGTTTTTCTTGTTCATTTCTAGTAACGCATTCTTAATCTCTCTTTTTTCTAGGTAAAATGGGTATGACGGTGGCGAAAGTGTCTCATCAAAATGATTTGGCGATTGATTTAGTTACATGTGATACTGCAAAAGGCTGCAATCCTTATTCGGGTGATACAGATTGTAATACAAGATTACCTGTTCTTTGTAAACAAACCGATAAATCACCACGTCCAGCCTATACAATGACATGTACTGACCATGCAATGCCAAAAGAGTTCTATTGTGGTTGGACAATGGGTTACATTGCAACAACTCCAAAAGTTGCTGCCTCTACATTTTCATCTATCAGGGATGTTGATGCATATTGTACAGATGCATTTGGTCCAGGATGGGTTACAGCTGAGTTTCATGATAGTCGTTATATTCCTGGAATGAATGGTGCAACATATGCTAATGCTCAGTGGACACAATGGGGTGCGAGTCATGGAAATAACTACCCAAGTGGAGGATGGAGTTATTATTCGTATGGAAATGTTCGTAATGATACACGATTTTGGATGGACATTAACGATCAACCAACAACTTGTTGGTCTCGCTAATCATTGGAAGACGATAGGACAGAAAAATAAAGACTTTCATTACCTAATCTCAATTTTTTTCTTCTATTCTTTTCATTAAAAATATTATTAATCACGACAACTTTACTTCATTTTTAATCTACAATAAAAGTCTTAATCTTTATCATTTAGGTGTTTTATTACTATTCTCTAATTGAACAACAACTGCATCAATTGTGACTTTTATAATGTTGACTATTTTTCGTTGTTCCGATTGATAACTATTAGTAAGCTCTATAAATTATAGTTAATCAATGCTAGAACTAAATATTAATGGATAAATTTTGCGTATTTATATGCTGAATATATACAGATTCAAATAGAAGTTTTTTAACGATCTTTATAAGTGCAAAAAATCTCTTCTAGAATTTACTTGACATCTTGTATATGATACCACCTCAAACACGAATGCGTGCTATTGATTCAGTATATTTGTCTTTATTAATAAAGGGTGAGTGTGGGTGTCGGTGTGGATTTGAATCGAAAACGAAGATGACCACACCCACACCCACACCCTGCATGTCGCAGATATAAAAGTACTGGATTCTTCAAATATCATGCACATATTTCATATATCACATTCAGTGTCGTCATGATCATCGAGTGCAGATCAAGTACTAACTTTAAATAATATAGTTACACACACGAATCGTTATTTTGCTACATTTATATTCATTTTTGATTGTGTTGGAAATATTCTAAATATTTTTGTTTTATCATAAAAAACTCTTCGTTCAAATCCCTTTGCAATATTACTCTTCTATTCTTCAGTAGCTGCTCTTATTTCACTTATTGTTGGACTCAGTCCTCGAATGTTAAGTAGTATAACAATTGATCTTTCAGATACAGTTCGATGGATTTGTAAAATGCGTGGTTTTACTTTATTTACATTTCATGCAATTGCATTTTGATTGATTATGTTACCCACAATTGATCGATGACTTTTATCATCTATCGATGTTCACCGTGGTATCATGGCAGTAACACTTTTCTTGATTATTGTTCATTGTCAATGTTTTTATTGATATGTTATTTACTATTTGTGCTATTCTTATACCTTTAGCACTAATGATAGTCTTTGGTTTAATGACTATTTCAAATGTACGTCATTCTCGAAATCGTATTTATCATTCAACGGCACATGTATTAACTGTCAGTCAATCAAAATCAACAAAACGATCGAATAAAGCTGATCATCATCTGTTGGTAATACTTTTTGTACAAGTAATTCTTCTTGGTGTATTGGCAATTCCATTATCTATCGAAAAATTATATTCAACATTTACATCCGAAGAAGTTAAATCTAATTTTCGTGTAGCTATGGGAAATATGCTTTATAATTTTGTTGAGGGTGTGGGTGTGGATATGAATATTCCTCTTATCTACCGATATCCACCATTAATTGTTCGTCATTGTGTTCTGCAAGGATATAGAAGATCTTAGAAGAGAGAAATTAATTATAAGATTGCTTCAATAGTTTATTTAATGAATTTTATAAGAATAAAATATTTGAAAAAATCATCTGTAATTGTTTTTTTTAATGTGATGTTTTAGGTCGATTTTTGAGATATTCAGCAATTTTTGGTTGTTTTTCGACTTGTTGACGATTTTCTTTTAACCAAGGGTAACTATTGAATATATTTTCATCCAATTCAAGTATATGTTGTGCTATATCATAGAAGTATAAATCTGCCCATGTTAAATTATTTCCAACAAAAAAGGAACCACCACTACCATATAATTTACCTAAACCTTCCAAATTCTGTAAATGTTTAGGTAATTCATCGGCAAGAAATGTTTTAGTAAGTTCTTTTTGTTTGGCTTCATCTTGTTCCATTCTAATTGGTCTATATTTGCTTATCATATCATTGATTGTATCTACAACAGCATCTACTTTCGCTTGATCAAAATTGTCTTTGCCAGCAAGATGAAATTGATTGGCAAGAAAACGATTAATAGCTGCTGATTGAGGTAATTTTACACCATTGTATTCAAGTACAGGCATTTGACCTAAAGGCATTTCACTTTTATGTGATACCCATTCTTCACGTTCATAACGAATATCTTCATATTTTTGATCAGCCGCAGCAAAAATTAATCGAGCTACTTCACCACGACCACGAACATTAAAATAATAAAGTTTATATGTTGACATTTGTGCTATGTAATTATATGTGATACGTTAAAGAAAATAAAAATGTTGTATGTGTAACTAGCAGTATTTATATAAAAAAAAGAGAAGAAGAGGAAAACATTACACGTGTGTTCTAGTTACTTATTTTGCCACGTCATCGGCATGTAAGAACGTTTAGAAACGGCAGACGAGTACGCACAGAACGAAGAAAAATATGCTGATGCTGCATTTTTTTTTTCTTTGATGAAAAATATACTCCTGCACGTTTGCGATGCATATAACACACCTTCATTCTCGCTCAAACTTATTTCACAAGAGTGAGTCAACCAATTTCAGATGAAACTATAAGAAAGAAAGTGACTTCTTTTAATGAAACTTTATTTAAGTCATAAGAACTGATTTCTAAGACTATGAATCATTCGAGATTAACATAAATTACTGTAACGCGTCAAACATCTAAATTACAATGGAAGATGGTTAAAAACTATTTTATATTGTCAATATTCTTTTATTGTGAAAATCATGCGTTTGAACCAGAGACCGGCGGTATTGCAAAAATTTCATACCGTCCCGTACCGTGTACCGCTTTCACTCGTATCATACCGTACCGTACCGTACCACCTGATAATTTTTCGATACCGTACCGTACCGTTACCGCCTAGAGTCTGAAGTATACCGTCTCGCGAAATACCGTACCGCCAAAAAAAATTTTTAAGTTTTCTTCAAAGATATTACGATCCGTTTTATTGAGTTATCGGGTCATATATAGATTACTTTTTCGATGGATGTTGACAACAAAGTATAAAAAGAATTATAAGAGCATACGAAAAAAGGAATTTCAAGAACGCAGGAACTTATTAATTGATACACAACGTTGCGCAATTTTACAGAAACAAAGCATGGATAAGTTAAGTACAAAATTATATAAATATATACAAGTGTTTCATGCACTTTAGTATTAATTTCGGGCGTACAGTTATCAAAAGTTTTAAATTAAGAAAAATAAAATAAACTTGTAGGGTGAATTGGCTCTAAAGGTGGCAAGTCAAGTCCTTTTTCGACTCGAATCAAGTTAAATTAAGCCAAATCAAATGACTTGTAACTTAACTTAAACTATAACGTCGATGTGAAGATTTTCGAGACGTAACTTGACTTGATCTGTTCGAAATTTTCAGTTATTGATTTTTATTCGACTTGGGTCGAAAAGTCGTTGACTTGCCCATATCTGACCGAAAACATCGTCATAGTAAATGGTTGCACATCTTTATATATCTTTTGGACTGATCGATCTTTTCTTTCTCAGAAATAAGAACTAAGGAATCAAACAGTTTTCGGATGGTTATGTACAGTACTCAAATTTTTAGAAGATGATGAGGTCTCAGATGAAAGTAATATGAGACAGTTTTTCGATCAGATGATTCGCAGTTATATGTTTGTTAAGAAACGTAGTGCTGTATGAAATGTACGAACTCGTTGTAAACCATAGGTATTATGTGAAGCAGAACTTAATATTTTTCTCAGAAATACCATGGATATCGATCTTGACAGAAAACTAAATGATTATTAGCAAATAATTGATGAGTTTTCGTAGTTTTGATTCTCGAGAGTAATATATTAAGTTTCATTACGTTCTCAAAAGTGTTGAATCGTTTGACGATTGCACGTTTCATTTAACAATAATATTTACGAGAAAAACAAAAAGCAAACGATAAAAATCGTTCTTCTACAGCAATTGTTGACATCAATCGGTCGTTAATATATAACAACGACGATGGTTCTCAAACATCTTTATCTGACTTCCAAGGGTCCAAATGCGTGTAGGTCATATTCGACAAAAAGATAAGAAATTCAAATAGCTGCGGATAAGAGATTGAGACAGGGTTAGCTTTGCTAAATTCATTTTAACATATAACGCGAATGAAAAAAATTTAATAGATGTTTTCGAAAATCATTGCTAAAAGGCTTCTTTTAATATAGACGCGGGAGTGCGGTATAACCCTCTCATACCGCATACCGTACCGTACCGCGGCTTTGCAGTACCGTACCGTACCGTACCGCCCTACTTCTTTTTTTCCTATACCGTCTCGTCCCGGTACGGTACGGTACGGTACGGTACAGTACTGACACCGCATCTCGCCGGTCTCTGGTTTGAACATAGTTTTTATGACGGTCAAAATATTACAGTTAGAATTTACTTACCTAAGAAGCATAAAAAGTTTATAAATTAGAGTTTTTAAGTTATGCAGCAACACTTTCAGATTAGCTATCGTAGTTTTCTAGCGTATAAGACTTGATTACCGAATTTTTTCAAATTTTATATTTAATTTCAGTATTTCATGGATTTGGTGTAATGTAGATATCTTTGTACATGATGAAGAGTACTCATCTCACATTGACACAAGATGTTCCTGAATAATATATATGAAAATATGTAAAATCAATGAAGAAATTTTCAGTTTTCCCTTCTTGTTTATAGACCATAGATTAATCAATTTTGTCGATTTATGACGTTAATTAAACTAGTTAAATCCTAAATATTTTGTCTATTTCTTATATAGCCTGCAATTAAAATGAATTTTCAACTGAATATGAAATATTTGAAATGAAAGGAGTAACTACATTTTAAAAAGCTCTTATAGATCAGGTATTGAAGAACAATCTAGAAAGAGAATAAATAATCACCGGATTACTGCAGTGACAAGTGTTACATTTTTCTTAATAATACTAATATTATGACGAACAATAGATTTGGTGGAAGAGATTTGTACGAATAAATTGTAAAATAAATTATCGTATGTTGCATCAAAAAATTTGAGTCAATTAGCAGAGTTATTTTCTTACTGGTGAAAATTCTATTATTGCTCATTATTACGATACTCTATTTAATATATTACTGTTATATTAGTATTTATAAAGCGATAGAAAATAAATAGATATCTATTCTGACTTTATTTCTTACACAGAAGCTTTTATTTGTTGAAATTTAATAAAAATTTGACTGATACTATTCAAGTTAGCATTTCAACAACTTCTGATGCTACATATACTATGCAGGAGAATAAATCGTCTTTTGAATAATATGTTGATGTCCGAAAGGTATTTTAAAACGCATCAATTTTCTTTCTATGCTTATTATATGTCGAATACCATGATGCTCTAGTATTAACGATTTCATGACAATTTTAACTCCACTTTTAAAGTTGTCACCAAAAACCTGTGGAAATGGTCTGAAATATTATTTTTAAATAAAATATATTCGTTCATTCTCAAGGAAATACGAGTGCAAAAGATCTTTTATTTACTTGAGGGTGTGGATGCGAGTGAATGTATCGGAGTAAGGTTAGTGTAATATTCACAACCACACCCTCTAGTCTAAACAACATTGGTGAGATTTTACATCAGCAAGAAAAATATTATAAACCACTTGATCATCACGGACGAGCAATGTTGATCTTCAACAACTGTTATGAAAGAAATCGTTTATACAATGGTTCTGCTCTCCATATCAATGGTTGCCTTCTTATTCATTAAGAAAAATATGAGAAATCTCTATATATTTATTAACGAGTATTGATAATCCTCAAGAAATTACATTCATATAATCATGTCAATATTGTTAAGATATTGATTCATATATCAAATATTAGAAATAGACAAAGAATATTCAATGAATCTTTAGAACTGTATCATCAGGCATTATCGACACCAATGAAATACTATTCATTTACTCATTTAATTATTGTTTCTACTTTGAATAATATTGGTGATGTACAAATAAATAGGAAAAAAAATTATAAAGAAGCTCTTTATTATCAACAATAAGCTCTTGTTACACTTGAGAAATATTACTCATCATATTATGCTCAAGTTGTTAACATCATCAGCTATATTGAAAATACGTTATGTCAGCAAAATAAATATATACGATGAAGCTCTTGATTATTACTCTCAAGTAGTAATATTACTTAAAAAATTCAATTCAACCATTTATTCTAAAATCACACATATTCTAGAATGGATTGAAGTAATTTGATGCGTAAAACGATTTTATAATCATGAAATTGAGTATTTTGAACAATCTTTAATCATTTATCTATTGTTACTACGCTTTCCAATTTTGTTCAAGTACAACGAAATCGACATGAGTATGAACTAGTTCTCCAATATGAAATCAAATGTTATTTGGTACATGAAAGAGTTTTATCACCAGATGATGAAAATATTGGGCAAAGTTTCTCTAACATCGCCGAATGCTACGAACATCTTAATCAACTAAAAATGACACTTGATTATTATGAACGAGCATTAG